ACACACTAGGCCACAATGTCACAATTGTGATGAATAGGCCCCCAGTCTAGGGGTCATCTGGCACGTTGGCTTCCAACTTCAGATGAGCATGAGAATTGCCTTCCTGCTCAATAAAATTCCCAGGCCCCATCTGACCCAGTGACTTACCATCTCCAGGAATGAGACACAGGGCTTACATGACTTATGGACCCTGTCCCTACCCTAGTACAATGGTTAGTCACACGTTCATCCAGCTGGGTGTCATGGCATGTGCGGATAGGCCGAGCTACTCATGGGGAGAATTGTTTGAGCTCAGCATTTCAAGGCCATCCTGTGCCACACACAAGCAAACCACTCCTGTTAGACCCTGCCGGGGAGGTGTTCTGCAGATGTGCAAAGATAATCAGCTGACCTTCAGGAGATATCTTCAATAATGCAGTTGGACATCCTGTAATCGGACGAAGGCTCAGGAGGAAAAAAAAAAAAAAACTGTGGAGAGGAAATTCTGTCTCAAGATAGCAGCATCTTTTCCTGTCTGACTTCCCAGGCTGCCCTAGGAGTTTGGACTTGACAGTCCCCACAATCACAAGAACCTGATTTCGACTGCAACCCACAGAACCAGAGAGGCTATATAGCAGGGGGGACCCTAGGATAATTGTGGCTTATAATAAGTTTTGGTTTTACTCAATCACTGGGCAAGCCTCAGTGAAACATTTCACTATTAGGAAAGAATTGGTACTGTATCAAGCTGATAATAGAAATAAATAAATAAAGGAGAGAGAACCTGATTTCTTAGAACACACACTCATCTATCAACAAGGAGTGACCAGCAAGCTAGAAAGCCTGAGGTCCCCAGCCCCGCCAGGTGCCCTCCTTACTGGGGTGTGCACAGCCTTTGCCCCAAAGGCTCTTTCTCCACTTCACTCAAGTTCCGATCTCCCCAGGCAACAATCTGATCTCCCAGGAGAACAAGATGTTAAGTCCATGACTAGCCTCACTCTATCCCCTCCCTATTTTGACAATGGGTACCCCACACTTAGCAGCAATTATTGATCACTTCAACAGTGGTTCTCAACTTGTGGGTTAAACGACCCTTTCACAGGGGTTACCTAAGACCATTGGAAAGCACTGATATTTACATTACAATTCATAACAGTACCCAAATTACAGTTGTGAAGTAGCGACAAAATAATTTTATAGTTGCAGGGGTCACCACCACATGAGGAGCTGTATTAAAGGTTCGAAGCATTAGGAAGGTTGAGACCCACTGCCCTAGAAGGTTGTGATGCTGGGTCTCACCACTTCAAAAGAGAAGAGGCAAATGACTACAGAGTAGGAAGAGAACAGGGGGATGTAATGGGTGTGTGTGTGTGTGTGTGTGTGTGTGTGTGTGTGTGTGTGTGTGTGTGTTGAGAAGAGGGCTTACTGAGTTGCTCATCCTGGCCTGGAACTTCTAGTCTCAAAGAATTTCTTTGCATATATGTCTCCCAACACATAACACATCATTTGTTATTTCCTGGGTCCTGTCAGTAGAGAGAAAGTACATAAATGGCCTGAAGGCAGGCACTAGGTCTGCTGGCTATAACCCCATCACTGGGATCAGGACCCAACATATGAAGGGGCTCCATACATAGCTGTCACATGAATAGAGTGACTCATACGAGCAGAGCTCCCAGCTCAGATTGGGAATTTTATTTAATTTTTTATGAAAATTAAATAAGTTTTGAGACAGGATTTCACTGTTTGCCCTGGCTGGCCCAGAACTCACTATGTAGACCAGGCTGGCCTTAAACTCACAGAGATTGAATTCTCCTGAGAATTAAAGGCTTGTGCTACCATGTACAGCATTTTTTACAGCATTTTTTTTAAAGATAAGGTTTCACATAATCCATATAATCCAGAATGGCTGCATATTCATTTATAGACATTTATCACCACACCCAGTTTACAGGTGCTAAGAACTGAATCTAAGGTTATGTGCATGTTTGTTTTGGTTTTTGGTTTTTTGGTTTTTGTTGTTTTGTTTTGTTTTGTTTTTGAGACAGGGTTTCTTTGTGTAGCCTTGGCTGTCCTGGATCTCGCTCTGTAGACCAGGCTGGCCTCGAACTCACAGAGATCCGACTGCCTCTTCTTCCCAAATGCTGGGATTAAAGGCGTGCGCCACCACCGCCCAGCCTTGTTCATTCTTCCTGGCCGATTGGGCCATATTTGAGGCCTCAGAGCTGGGAATTCGTGCCTTTCTATCTTTTCTCATGGCACACTCCTCCAATACCCAACAGGCTGGCTATCAAGACATCCTTCCTCGCACTTTCAAAGACCCACGATGCACGCTCCCTGTCCGTGGTGCTGGGGAGAGGCGGTCAATTTGGTACTCTGTGTGGGTAGGAGGGAGAGTAAGTAGTCCTTGTATCTCCGAAGGAAGAGGAAACAAAATGAAGCAAGAAGACAGATGGAAGATGTCAGAAGGGCCACTGGAGATTCAGAGAAGTGCCAGGTGCCAGGAAGGAAAACGTAGGTTTGCCTTTCTCCCAAAAGATTCCTGAAGAAATGTTTGGTTTCCTGCCCTCTTAAGATCAAGACATAAAATTGGGCAGTGGTGGTGCATGCCTTTAATCTCAGCACACGGGAGGCAGAGGCAGGTGGATCTCTGTGAGTTTGAGGCCAGCCTGGTCTACAGAGGGAGTTCCTGGACAACCAGGACTACACAGAAAAATGCTGTTTCAAAAAACCAAAAAGAAAAAAAAAAATCAAGGCATAATGACTCAGGGGTTAAGAGCACTGGCTGCCCTTCCAGAGGACCAGAGTACAATTCCCAGCACCCACATGGCAGCTCACAACTGTATGTTAGCTCCAGCTTCAAGGGACCTGCCACCCTCACATAGACATGCATGCAAGCAAAACACCAGTGCACATAAAAAATAAAACAAAAACAGAAAAAAATCCAGTCCCAAATGCTCAGTCACATATGGAAGAATGAACATGTTCCTTCACCCGTAATCCCAGCACTTAGTGAAGCTGGAGGCTTGAGGGCCCAGGGGCCAGCCTGGGCTACATAACAAGACTCAGACACACTCTCTCTCTCTCTCTCTCTCTCTCTCTCTCTCTCTCTCTCTCTCTCTCTCTCTCTCTCTCTGTATGTGTATAGCCCTAGCTGTCCTGGAACTTGCTCTGTAGACCAGGCTAGCCTCAAACTCAGAGAGCTGCTTGCTTCTGCCTCCCGGGTGCTGGGAATAAAGGTGTATGCCACCACGCCTGGCCATAAGGCTATCTTAAAAAAAAAAATAAAAATAAAGAAAAAGAAAAAGAGAGAAAAAAGAAATCCCAACAGAAGATGCCATTAGAAGCCAAGAGGTAGAGGCTGCAGATGGAATGAGGACCCAGGTTCCCACTAGGACCATGCCACATTCTATATAAATGCAACACCTCGGGAGAGCCTTTCTCTGAGCCTCAGGCATGAGCTTACCGATGGCCTTTGGTCATTATCACAGCTATGAGCCGCAGAGTCAGAGGACCCTGAGCACAGAGCTGTGACCCTACACTGTACCACCCTCCCCTTCCTCCCAGGACCCTCTCCTGTCTCCAGCCTGCCCCAGATCACTTTTCTGACCCCACGTGGACTTGGCCACGTTTGTCTCCCACCAAGGTCACTCAGTCTCCCTCTTCACCTTGGTGGGTTTGGCAAACTCTTTCCGTTCCACTGTGTAAGAAAGCTGAACACAGTTAAGTGGACATCTCATCTCTGCTGCCCTGGAACTCTCAAGTCTTGATGACACCTCCTTTGAATATGTCTGAAAGAAGCCCTCAAACTCCTTTGTGGTCACAGGTACAGAGACATCTGTGATCTCCACCACACTGAAGTCACACCTTCTTCATTTATATTTCCCAACACAGAGATCCAAGGCTTGGGAGTAAAATGGTACAAGAGGGGCCAAGCGTCCTACTGCGTGAATTAGGAATGCCTCTCGGAAAGGGAGACGAGAGGTTGCAGAGGTGGGTATGGGTGGAAAGGAGAGCAAGAATTAGTCCCCAGGAGAGAAGAGAGCCCAGGACAAGCGACCAAAGTGATGGCACCGGCTGGGTTCTGGAAGCATGGCAGTGGCTTAATTCAAGCCCCCGTGTGGCAGGTTATATGACTTAGTGCCTGAGTCAGGTGTCCTGCTCTGTCATAGCTGAGCCCTCAGCCTTCTGCATTCTCACTTTCTTAAAGCCTGTGGCCCCGCCGGGCGGTGGTGGCACACGCCTTTAATCCCAGCACTCGGGAGGCAGAGCCAGGCGGATCTCTGTGAGTTCGAGGCCAGCCTGGGCTACCAAGTGAGTTCCAGGAAAGGTGCAAAGCTACACAGGGAAACCCTGTCTCGAAAAACCAAAAAAAAAAAAAAAAAAAAAAGCCTGTGGCCCCTAGCTCCTGCTCAGTAACTCTGTCCCACAAACCGCCCCCACCCAGCCCCAGGGGTCATCAGCAGGAGAGGAGGGCCTCCAGGACAGAGCAAGGACCCTGCCCCAAAATGCAGCTTTACACTAGCAGGGGTGGGGGGGAGGAGAGTCAGAAAGGACTGAGCTCCCGGCCCTCTCCGTCCAGTACTCCGCCCCCTCCAGGCTTTGTTTGTTGATTTGTTTTTCTGGAAGGAGGAAAAGAGGGCTCAGTCACATTAAGTCTCCCTCAGCCATTTCATGCTGGGCCCCCAGCTAGGAGGAGGAGGAGGCGGCTGGCTCACTCAGCCCTCTCAGCTAATTGCTCATTAAAGAGCATTAATGAGCTGCCTTTCACCTCACCTCCGCCTAGAACAGCGCAGCATCCCTGCTTTTGCCTAGTTCACCGGGCAGTCGCTACTTGGAAAGGCCAGTTGCTCCCAGCACGCCGTATCTTCTACCAAGTCCTATACCGGACTTGGCTCTGCAGGTTCTAGTCTCACCTGGCAACCCAAGTCCCTCATCCTTCCCAGAGGGACACTCCCACCCTTGACTAGCACGCCCCCCCACCACCACCACCCCACCTTGCCCACGCACTCCTGGGTACTTACAACTTCTCCAGCAGGTAGAGTCCCAAGAAGGATCCATTTCGGAGCGCAGTTATCTTGTTGTTGCTCAAGAGCCTGAAGAGACAGGAAGGACATAGAGATGTGCTGTTAGAAGCTAGATGGTGCCAAATGCAGACTGAGTGGGACCCAGGTTCCCAAGATGGCCATGCTGCACTCTGTAAATGCCACTGTCTGCAGTTAGGCAGCAGGCACCCCACCTACCACTCTAGGGGGTGGTGTAGGGAGAAACTGGTGAACAGTCCAGCCCTAGAGAGAGCTTCAAGTCATGGGTTTCAAGCAATGATGCAGTGAAGGACCCATAGACTGGATCTGATTTGAGATGGGGCTCAGCAGATGTTAACTTGTGACAGCCTACTTCCACTAGGGAGCCTCAGTGTCAACTCCGCTGGGCCTCTGCCATGCCCACCGCAGGGTTTCTGTCCTTGCGGAAGCCCTCCCTCCCTCAATCCAAAATCCAGAGCAGAGTGATGGGGAAGACTGGCCTCGTCTGGGTCAGGTATGGAAGAGGAGCCCTGAAGCCCCACATGGAGGCTCACTCCTTTAATCCCAATGCTTGGGAAGTAGAGGCAAAAAGAACAAGAGCTTATTGAGGCCAGCCTGGGCTACCTGGGACCCAGCCTCAAAAACAAACAAACAAAAAACAGAAGGGAAGGAAGGGGAGGAGGAGGAAGCCCTGGTGGAAGAGAGTTTTCCGACACCTTCCTTGGAGTCCAGGACTCTACAGAAAGGTCTCCAGTCCAGAGGGGCTGAACCGTCACTGTGTCCTTGCCTCCCCAACCTGTAGAAAGATTGACGGAGCCCAGGATCTGACAGAAGGCTAGGCCTCCCCTTTGCAATGCCTGCTCCGACCGATGTTCTGTTTGTTGACCGGTTCTGTTTTGGGAGAGAGCCCCCCCCCCCCCCCCAGTCTCCTCTTTGCCCAGCCACTTGGCCTTTTTCTCCCAGACTTCTTATTGGGAGGAGGGAGTTCCAGACCAGCCAAAGGGTTCAACCCTCCAGTTAATTGCTTATTAGAAAGTTTTAATGAGGCCTCTCAACCCAAACTCCTGGCAGCCCTGGGGCTGAAGCAAAGGGTTTCCCCTTCTTCGCTCGGCTCTTACTAGTGGAAAACTCACTGGAAGGCCCAAAGTACAAACCTTAAACCGTCTCTGGAGTAGACAGCCTCTGTGTGCTACGGTATACTGAGGGGAGGGGCTAGGAGCCAAAAGTAGAAGAGCTGTCAAGATGTGCCACCCCCCACGCCTCATGGGAGTGAGTGAATGACCCCATGAAGCAGGCAAGGAGCCCCAGGCCCCGACTGGGGGCCTTTGGAATTCTAGGTAAATGCTCCACTGCTAGGCTATATCCCAGGCCCTATACTGGCGAGGATGTGGGAGGGGGTGTCTCTGGATCAGTGAATGGGTTAGACACCTCATCTTTCTTCTCCCTCCAGATAGAGCTCCCCCAACTTCCAGTACAGTCTAATAGTCCTTCCAAAGGTGACAAGGGGTAGTTTCCAGCAGAAGAATGACTTAGGGGAAATTACTGGGCGTTCAAAACGCTACGTACACACACACACACACACACACACACGCACGCACGCACACACACACACGCTCGCGGTGATGTATTATGTCCCCCAGTATACTATGTCCCCCAATAAATTTATCTGAGGATCAGAGGAAAAAGCCAACCACTATAAGCAAATATGGAAGTCAAGCAATGGTAGCACAAGCTGTTAATCCTATCACTTGGAAGGCAGGGATCTGTCTGGATCTCTGAGTTCAAAGCCACGCTGGGAACAGAGCCAAGCATGGTGACACACGCCTTTAATCCCAGCACTAACCATAGAGGTCTGGAGGTCTGTACAGACAGACAGGAAGTGACAGAGCTGGGCAGGAAGAGGAAGTGATGTAGCTGGACAGAGAGCAAATGAGTGAGCAGAACAGAAAGGCATATAATTGTGGGTATACAGAAAGTAATTCTGTCTCTTTGGAGACGGAGGTGTCAGTGAGGTGAGGTTAGCTTGTGGCTTTTCCTATTTCCCTGATCTCTCAGGTCTCAAGCCCGATATCTGGCTCTGGGTTTTTATTTAATAAGACCATTTAACAATTCGTCTACACACACACACACACACACACACACACACACACACTCACACTTCATCTTAATATTCCAAAAAGCATATCACTGATACCATCTGTGTGCTGCATACTTGTAACTAGCATCCAGGAAGCTGAGACAGAAGGCTGAAGAACTGAGGGATAGCCTCCACTACAGAGTAAAACATCTATCTCAGAAAAGAAAAAAAAAAAAAAACAAAGCATACCATGGCAGAACTGAGCTACAGCTCAGAGGAAGGACGTAGAAAGAACATGTACATAATGTGCGTGAGGCGCTGAGTTCAACCCTAACACACACAGCAAAAACAGAACGAAAACCAAAAGGTCCCTCAGACATAGGAAAACTAAGAGCTTCTTAGCAAACTCCCTTCTCTTGTGTTTTGGATCCAGGATGCCAGCACAGGGCTCCTATTCACAAGTGGAGAAGCCACAGAGAACATTAGGGCTCAGGCTCGGAAAATGGATGTGATCTTGGAGTGGGAAACAGGTCTGAGTTCTGGGCAATGTCTGAGGACTGGGGGTTCCAGTCTGAAAAACACTGACATTAAAAATCCTACACACTAGCTGGTGTGGTGGCACATGCCTTTAATCCCAGCACTCAAGTGCGGAGGCAGGCAGATCTCTGTGAGTTTGAGGCCTCAGGCCATTGAAGGGATACATAATGGAGCACTCTCTCAAGATAGATAGATGAGAGACAGACAGACAAACAGGGAGGGAGGGATGGATGGATGGACGGACGGACGGATGGACAGATAGATAGACAGATAGATAGACAGAGAGACAGATAGATACATAGAAGCAGATCTTGGGTTGGAGAGATGGCTCAGCAGTTAAGAGTACTTTTTGCTTTTGCAGTGGACCCAGGTTTAATCAGCACCCAGAAGCGCACACCCATCCATAACTCCAGTTCCAAGGGGACCCAATGCCTTCTTCTGGACTCTGTGGGCAGCAGGCACCCACATGGTACATATATATACATATAGGCAAAACACAACCATAAAGTATATTTTTTTTATCTTAAAAAAAAAGGCACAGGTTTTTTTTTTTTTTAAAGGTAAATCTTTAGGCCAGGTATGATGGTTTGCACACCTTTAATCCCAGCACTTGGGAGGCAGAGGCAGGTGAATCTCTATGAATTCCAAGTCATCCAGGGCTCAGACTATCTCAAAATAAGTAAGTAAATAAATAAATCTTTTAAGAAAAGTTTTTTTTTTTCTTATTCCTATACTAGGGGACAGTAAGATGGTTCAGTGACTAGAAGCACTTGCTGCCAAGAGAAATGACCTGACTTTGGTCCCCAGAATCAACACAGTGGGTGGAGAGGACGGATCCTGCAAGCTGTCCCCTGACCTCCACATGCACACGCACACCCACACCCACACAAATAAATGTAGGGGGAAGTCCTGAACTAACAAACGTTCTTATTCCCTCTTTTCCTGTTTTTCCTCCCTTTTCCTCTCTCTCCCTCTCTTCCCCCCTCTCCTTGCATTCTCCTTAAAAAAAAAAAAGTGTGTGCACACGGAAAACATCACAGTGCTCGTGCCAGAGGTCAGCTTGCAGAGGCTGGTTTCTGCTTCTGTCACGTGGGTTCTGGGACCAGGCATGGTAGGAAGTGCCCTTACCCTTTGGGCTATCTTGACAGCCCTCCTTTCCTCCCCTTTCCCCCTCTTTTCTATTTATTCCTCTTAATTATGTGTATGTGTATCTGTGGTGTGGGTGTGTGCAGGTCAGAGGAGTTGGGTCCCCTGGAGTTGGAGTTACAGGTAAGCCACCTGATGTGGGTGCCAGGAATGGAACTCTGGAAGGGCAGTGCATGCTCTTAACCGCTGGGAATCCCTCCAGTCTCTGCTCTTTCTTCTCTCTTGAGACAGGCTCTTGCTCCATCGTCTAAACTGTCCTGGAACGCACGATCTTTGTGACTCTACCTACCCATCATGTGCCAGGATTACAGGCATGAGACATCTCACCAGGCAGAAAATGCTTTCTAGGGCTGGGGGGTGGTGGTGGCACACACCTTTAATCCCAGCACTCAGGAGGCAGAGGCAGGCGGATCTCTGTGAGTTCGAGGAAAGGTTCCAAAGCTACATAGAGAAACCCTGTCTCAAAAAACAAACAACAAACAAAAGAAAATGCTTTCTAATAAATAATTCTTTTTATATACTCCCAAATATATATTCATATCCCCAAATTTCCAAAATGAGAACCTGAGTTCCCAGGTAAAGAATCCTATTCAGAGGAACACATAAGTAGTAATGGGGTCCCCATATTTCCATGCCCTTCAGCCATCAGTCCTAACCCCTCTCATATATCCCAAACCTTTAACTTATAGCTGGCCCATAGAAATACAATGTGAACCACGTTTGTAATTTAAAATTTACTATCAGTCACATTTTTAAAGCGTGAAACTAATTTTAATAGAATCTGATTTAACCCAACATACCCAGAGTCTTTTCATTTCAATGTGTAATCTATTTACATTTTTAATTAGGTATTTTATTTCTTTCAAAGCTTGGTAATCTGGAGTGTATTGTACTCCAACAGCATATCTCATTTCAGGCCAGCCATGCTCTAAATGTGTGTGACTAACATTGTAGGGTTCAGGAGCATTGCAAAAGGTGGGGACCAGCCTGCGAGGCAGTCCAGGATGAAACTCAGGTCCATACCAACACATCTCTTAGCCTGGCCAGCTCCTGAACACATTCTTCGGAGACCTCCTGCAGTTGGACCCCTTCTCTATATGCCTCTGTGCTGGGGACAGCTGCAATCCATGATTTGGGCTTGACCAGCACAAATGCCATCCCCTAATATCTTAAAACTCACCCTTTTTTTTTTTCATTTCTAGATGCAGAAACTGTGATCCTGATCTCCACACACACAAAGGCGGGCATTGGGCAAACAGCTCTTTATCCTTTTCCAATGGGCCCCCTCCAGGTGGCAGTGCCCACTTTTGAC